TAACACGTTTGTTTTTTTTGAAAACTTGAGATGAAGGATCTCCATTATCGTTCAAATATTTCCAATCGTTTGTAGTTAATTTTATGAACATCTAAATAAAAGGTTGCTTTTAAAAATGTTTTTTCTTTATTTTGCTTATTAGAATTTCTAACAGGTTTTCCCGAAAATAAATTGTAACTAAGTTGATGGTAGTGGCCATTGTCCCATTTTTTCTCTAATTGCCAAAAAGGGCGCACTTTGAAGTAGGCAGGCAAATAGGATCGGCTGAGAGTACGAGTTCCTTGGTATGACGAACTTACGCTTTAATGTTAGCAGATAATTTGACTTTAGTCTTGGAAGCAGCTCCATATTGGTTTGCCACCGTTAGGAATCTAGTTTTTGGCAGATTCTGGAATCTGACTTCCTTAACACCTATCTTAAGCCATTTTCTTATTGACATCGGCGAATGGAATAAGTTGTTTGGATTACCTGGCTAGACACAAATACACAAGTGTTAATTCCAATAGCTGATTCCTATACAGAACTTTTCAGAAACTCACCCTCCTCCCAATTAATTTTTGAACGGTTAAGTTAGCAAGCTAAAATTTCGGATGATGAAATTGACGCAACGTAACATCTTGTAAATGGAATGAAGGGTCGTGGGATACCTTACTTTGAAGATTCCTATGAATATGTACATATATTATAGGTCTAGATTCAAAATCGCCGACTGGCAAGCAAGTTGCCTTTGACCGATTTTGTACGTTATATTGCGTCAGTAAAAAAATTCTAACTGTTGTTTCTCTTTATATATTGGAAGCTGTTTGTTTTTAAAAACGGTCATGACTAGGCATAAGGAAGATCTTATCCCAGATAAGTGTAACTTATACAGAAAAATGCTCCATATATTGTTAAACAACGTTTCATTAAAATGTACGTAATTTAACAGTAAATCAAAGTTAAAAAGATTATCGCTAATTGTGTGATCTCTAAGGCACTTTAATCATTGAATGATTTTTTGAGGCTAAGGATAGATTTATATATATATTATTATATATATATTTATACATAATTTTATTGATAACGTTGATTATAAATGTGGAAAATTGTTGTAATTAATTATATTGTTCTTGTTTATGATTGTGAAAGCACATGAATTCTTAGGTAGCTTATACAAATCTTTGTAATTGTATATTTCATTTATAACTAATTTTAGTTAGCTAGTATAATTCTCTTTAACAATGTTCTATGCCTCGGCTTATGAATAAATAATAAATTATCTAACACTAACTAACTAAAAAAGAGGGAGATAGACGTTTTTGAAAAGCACTATATATGCCAAAATATTGTGATTTGCTTATCATAATAGCGTTACTCATTCTAATTCTAGTAACTAACTATTCGTCATTTGTTTGTCTGGGCGGTCCGTAGGACCTTTGCCCATTAGTCACTGTCTGATATACGTTAGTCGAATCTGTGAGTCCTGGTTGCCCAGAAACCACACAAAGTCAAGAAAAAGAGAAAGGGAAAGAGGAGAAAAAAGGAGAAGAGCAAAGAAAAACAGATATGCTTAGTTTAAGAGGAAACACCTAGGCTTTTTGACTTGGTACACGGATTAATTTTGAGGTGAACTAAACAAATTTTTTGATTCGGTTTTGTTAGAGTGTAATTTTGAGTTTACTGAAGATTCACGCTAACTTTTGATTACAGTGCGAGCCGTGGCCTTGAATGTTTACGAACTTGCTCCACTGTGTAGTCCACTGAATCACGCAACCGAGGGTTGCTGTGCGATTCCGTTTGACTATAACGTCGCTGCGCCTGAAGCTTGACATAATCCCTCAAATAAGGAATGTCAAGGTCTCTGTGTAGTGTCTCATTTGAGACATACCATGGAGCGTTGCAAATTGTCCGCAAAGTTCTGCTTTGCAGTACTTGAAGACTTTGCATGTGTCTTGGCGAGAAAACACCAAGCCGCACATGCATAAGTAATGGCTGGTCTAATAATCATTTTATATAGTCGAACTTTGTTTATCAAACTCAATTTGGAGGATCTACATAACAAAGGATATAGTTGCCGAAACGCAATTTGGAATTTTGTTTTTATGGATGCTGTATGTTTCTGCCAGGTCATGCCTTTATCAAGGATGACACCGAGATACTTGGCAGAATTTGTCCATGGTACACGATTTCCGTCTACAGAAACCTCTGCTGGGGGACCGCTACGTTTTTTGGTACAATAAATAGCCTGCGTTTTTGAATGATTAATTTTTATCAGCCACCGTTCCGCCCACTCTAGAACTTCGTCCACCGCATTCTGCAACCCATCGTGAACCAGATCACCAGTACACGACTGGGCGACAAGTGCAGTGTCGTCAGCATAGAGGTAGACTTCACAGTTGCATGGATGAAAAGCGAATAAAGAATTGGTACTAGGTCCGTACTGTCCGTGTTGTTGACAAAACATTGTTAATTTTGATCCGAAACTTCCTTCCTTCAAGAAAGGATTTCAGTAATTTTAGAAGCCAAAAAGGAAAACCCTTTTAGATTAGTTTATAGAGGAGGCCCGCGTGCCACACCTTGTCAAAGGCTTTTGAGACATCCAAAAGCAAGATGCCAGTACTCATGGTGATTTGACGAAAAATTCTCAAGGTGACGATAAATCACCTTTTCGGCGAGCTTAGAAGGAGCTGACAGCAGACTTATGGGACGGTAATCCTGAGGAAATATCGAACCCACCTTCTTTGGAATCATGATGACCTCAGCAGTCTTCCACCCAGCAGGGAAGTAGTGGATTCTGAGCGTCGCATTGATTATTGTCACCAAGTATGTCAGGGCTTTCGGCGAGAGCAGCTTCAACGCCTTGTTGGTGATTTGATCCTCCCCAGGTGCTTTACGCACCTTGAGGTCTTTAATATGACTTAGGAGCTCCGCTGGTGTGCAATGTGGAAACTCGGAGGGTTCCGCTAATGTGCTATGTGGAGCCTCAGACGAATCTTCTGAAAAAGAGGATTCAGCGCCTCCGCTAACGCCGTTGGCCCTAAAATATCTCCTGACGGATCGTACGATGTGCTGTTCCTCGTCGAGGTCATTATCGAGATCATAGTTGGGAGAGAACTGTTTTTCCATGGCATCAGCGAAAACCTCGACCTTATCCTCCGTTCTGAAGACTATGCCTTCAGGACCGTGGATGTGTGGGAGTTGTTCTCGCTTTCCGTTGCTGAGTGACTCCAGAGAGGAATACTTGAATCAAGCATTCCCGCCAGAAAGTGGCTCCATTGCTCGTTGCGGAGTTCGTGCAGTGCGTTTCTCACTTCATGGACAAGACTTGTAGCCCTACGAATGTCATCAGGATGACAAGACCTTTTTGCCTGCTTAATAGCGGCTCTTTTGTCGGAGATTTTCTGACAAATGTCCGCAGGCAAAAAAGGTCTGCCGTGTCGTTGTACATGAAATACAGCTGCACGCTGTAGAGCTGCTTGAATGAAACTTGTCCACTCCGCTTGAGCGGCATCTATTCCAGACTCATCATCTATAATCGGGATATTGGGAAACTCTCTAAAGAGCAACTTGTATAGGTCCCAATCAATGCGTTTCCTTGGAGGAGCTGCCTCCTCAGAAGTTTGCTCATTGCCCACATCCAAGACAACAGGTAGATGGTCACTAGAGATATCATACAAGATTCGAGAAGAGATACTGTATCTACAGTTTTTAGATATCGCGAAATCGATGACATCTGGTGCCTGAAGATGGTTGAATGGATGATGTGTTGGCTCTTCAGTGCCATGTATAAGGTACCCATTTCGCATCACATGGTTGTACAATTGAACCCCACTAGTGGAATTCAACCTAGAATTCCATGCTTGATGTTTGCAGTTGAAGTCCCCTGCCACAATAAGCGGACCCGACTAGTCCAAAAGGACCTCCAGATCCGCCTCTTGTAGCCTGGCACCACACCTGACGTACACCGATGTGATCTTCAACGAGACACCTCCCGCCATATTGACCACCACAGAAGCTGCTTCGATGCTATGCATCTCCGCATTAGTGCTTTTATAATAGTCTATACCGCGCTTAATCAACACTGCTAAACCGCCGCCTCGACCATTCAATCTGTCACCTCGGATAACATCATAATTCGGGAGAGCTAAACGATCTCCCGGATTAAGCAACGTTTTCTGCAGCAAGGCCACATCTATACCTTCATCCAAAAGAGCTTGTCTAATTCTGGTATTGGTTTATCCTATTTTCATGACCAAAGTTTTCCTTAGACGTAAACACCTGCTACATTTATATTCGACCGCGACATTTCCAATAATCTGTATATATTATGAAGCACGATATAGCACAAAGCATTCATTAAGATAAGACCATTGTTGTTCCAATGCACTGTTAGTAAAAATAAAAAGTTAAAATAAAACATGGGATTGTCGCTCATACAAGTTCGTAGTGTGGTTACAAAAATAAATAGTATCTCACAGGAAGAATTAAAGAGTGGTGGTTAGTTCCGCAGTCAAGTTAACAGTAATGATGTGAAATATATCGGGGGTTATGCCAACTTAAGACAAAGCACGAAGTATATTTTGGTCAATTCAATTTTCCATAATGTGTGTTAGCTTTGTCAGGAATGTTACAAATAATGATAATGTAAGTACCTAACAGTTCATTATTTTATAAAAACAACTTACTGATTGTGAAGTTAGAGCATACAAGTTGTAAATTTTTCAACACGATTCATTTTCCAAAATGTCAAAAGTACAAAGGTAATTATCGTGATTATACCAAATGTATACAAATATAAAGATCCTTATACTTTTAGTAATTTGCTGTTGACTCGATTCGAAATATTTGCCACTTGTTTGTACAAATCTCACGTTGTAAGTCACCTTTGTTACAATGAACTCTATCATATTATCATTATTTGTAAAAGTCCTCAATATGCTACTAAACATTAGGGAAAGCTTGAATTAGAAAAATGATTTTTCTTACTCAAGACCCAGATGTTCCAAATCATTAGTTTCAACTATAGTCTATCTTTACTCTCAAAAAATTAAAGGTGTCGTTATCCAGCACGTTATTTACTAGAAGTTATAATTACATTTATCTCCATGCTTTAGATATAATCCTGTAAATACGTCGATAAGATTGCAATTGACGATAAAATTCTTCATGGAAGTAGATAACTGTATTTTCTGTTTACATGAGTTTATGAAATAATACATTCAGGATATAAGCTAAAATAAGCATGTGCTTAACTGATTTTAAAGTGACATATTAGTTATTTTTGGTAATTTTTTTCCAGATTTTAGCCACTGTCAGAACGAATGCACACCATGGAGGAGAAAAAGCCTCGCTTCGGAGGCTCCAAGGTCTCAGAGATCGCTAACATTTTCCAGGTAAGGAGCTTATAGTTTTAATCTACAAAATTAGTCCACTTTTAACTGGAAAGGGAAATTCTTTTGTGTTTTAAAATAAACTAATTATCTTCGTACACTAATTTTACAGCTGTATCATAATAATTTAAATAATTATATTCGTTAACTACATTATACATACATACGTTAAGATATAATTAGCTTTTAATATGGACTAAAGTCAGGGACGTAACCAAAATGGCAGACAGGCATATTTTCGTTAATCTTGTATCTATGGTAAGAAAAAAATTATTATTGGAAAAATTGTTGTACCTAACCTTCAAAGTAGGCCGATTTTCGGTGTAATACAACTTTGTTTAAAATAAGAAAATCCATTATTGAAAAAATCGTTATTTTGATTAGCCCCAAGGTAATTCAAAAGACGGTGTTAATATTTCCTTTGAAACACGCGAATCTTCATCCTATTCTTATTTTAAAACACATTGAACTTTGGAATTATAAGCTGAACGAACCATGTTGTGTGAGCATATTCAGGGTTACCAGGCATATCCTTTATACTGAAGCAATTGTTTGGAAGATTAATGTTAATTACGAATCTGCAAAAGAGCAATTGCTCACATTCTGTCATTATACAACACGTTATGGAAAGTAAATTAGTGAAAAATAGCAACATTGGGTTGGTGTCACCCGTCCAGTAATGTGTGAGTGCTTCCTGGATAAGATGGAGAGATACGAAGTCGCTAAGTGGAGGCAAAGTTGCGTTTTTAGGTAACCAACAAAATGCCGCTTAGAAAGTTTCGAAATTGATAGTACTTCCGGGGAAAGACCAAAAAACAGAATTTTGTCAAAATCGTTTCAATTTTTTCCTGACTTTGATTATAGTGGGATTTCAAAATAAATTGCACATAAACATTGACTTTTTTCCCTCTACAATATGTTTCGTCTCTTGTCCTATAGCATCAACTTTACTTTATCTTATGGACGCCATATTGATCTTTTACACAGAAATAGAGTTTTAAATTCTGATTCCAAAAATGTATAATATGTCTTACTTTGACATTGCCAAACCTTAGGCCCGTATCGTCAGTCGTCCCTACAATTGTAGGGCGCGTTTATGGCCTCCTTAATTGTCATAGTTTTCTACTTCTCCGTGTCAGAACTCTATTTTGAGGTTATGTCACAAACATCTATTTGCATCAATTTGTGCTTGCTTTTGAGTTGTATCATGTTTTATCAGCCTGAAATTTCCTACAATTTAAAAAAGAAACATATCTTCACAATAGGAGAGCGCTGACGCTGACACGGGACAAGTGTAATCTAGAAATTTTTGAAGGAGAGACAGGAGTATGACAATCAAGGAGGCCATAAACGCGCCCTACAATTGTAGGGACGACTGAAGATACGGGCCTTAGTTATTTATAAAAAACTGAATTTCTTAGGTAGTCATTTGTTTCGTATACCAGGTTTCCCAGAATCACCCTCATTTTTTTCTGACTTCATTTGAGACGGGATTTCAAAATAAATTACATGTTTCATTGTTACTTATTCTCCTCTACAAGATGGCGTAGTCAAATTTTCAATTCGACATATTTCTTGTTTCGACTTCCAACAGCAACAACGTTTTATTTGGACACTATATTGGAATTTTGTACATTTGAATGGACTTTTCAGTCCTAAATTCAGTGATGTATTTCCTTAGTTAGCCATGAATTTATTGTTGGATGGAAATTATAAGGAAATAAGAAGGTATGGTGAAACCTGAACACAAAAAGGAAAAGCTTATCAATGGTAATAACAATAATAATCATAAATAAGCAGCGGGAAATCATAGCAGATGTCCGTTATTTTGTAGGCAAAGTCTGACTCTTCTCTGTACATTGTTCACTACACGATTTATTTCTCTTTTTCCCAGTCTTCCAAACTCTGTTGCTATACTCAATTTGAGGTCTGGTCTGGTATACGAAACAAATAAAATCTGATGCATAATTTGAAGGCTTACCTAGGAACTTCTGTTTTTCTGGAATAACTAAGGTTTGGAAATATCAGTGTACGAAATATTATACATTTTTCAAATCAGAATCATCTACGCCAAAATCCAATATGGCGTCCATAAGAAAAAATGAAGTTGATGCTGGAGCACAACCAAACGTCACATTGAAATTCTAATTATGCCATCTTGTAGAGGAGAAAAAGTGGCAATGTTAATAAGCAGTTTACTTTGAAATCCCACTACAAATAAAGTTAGGAAAAAATATAACCATTTTGGTAAAATTAGATTTCTGTCTGTCTGAATTTCGAAACTATCTAAGCGGCATTTTGTTAGTTACCTAAATAGGCAACTTTGCCCCCATTTAAGTGACTTTGTATCTCTTACCGTTTCCGAGATCCCATTGGTGCGGGTCGAAATTGAACCACTCTGTACAGGACGAGGGTGGAGTGTAAAGTTCTCGGCTGCCAATATTTTTCATTGGACCCAAAGTGCTTCCCATAAATAAGTTTCTACAAATAGCGAATACGAAGGATGGTGGATCAAATCATTTTTCCATTGTTAACACACCTTTGTGAGCAGATGCGCTGTCCTAATGAAGACTGATCTTTTTCTTCTTCACGTCAGTCTCTCTGAAAGTTTGGCATACAGTTGACCAAGGAGGTTGGAATAGTATTCGCCGTAATTGATCTTCCGTGGCCAAATTAGTCAATTAACAGAATCCGTTTCCCATCCCAAAACGTACTGACCATGACCTTTCCAGAAGATGCCATCGACTTTTCTTCTTCGGTGACGAACCACCGGTTCGACAGATTTTTTTCTAGCATTTAGTGTAATTTTTGACAGGCTGTATTTTGGTGAAAAATGGTCGTATCTGGACTTTAAAAAGGTATTTTGGAGTTTCAAGATTCTAGTTTTCAGGTTTTTTGCCGTAAAATTTTAGGAGAAACTGGTCTCACCCAATTCTAACAGTTAGTGTAAGAAAAACAATGTTTGCCTTCTTTTCAGTCCACGGACTTGACAATTTCTTTCTGTTAGGATCGGATAGCCCGCCTATATCCTGTTTTTGAAATTTCGATGCTATCGTTTGTCTTTGAGTGAAAAAGGATCCACTTATATCTCGGTAACCAGTGGTCGCACAGACAATGAAAGAGTATTTCCAAAAACTGGAATATATCTCTCATAAGATTTGATTACAATATTTGATGTAATTTTATTTTGTTTCCCTAGCGTTAATTTTAGAAAAGTCAGTTTTTGCCTCGTTTTGGAAAATCTACTGCATTTTGGTGGCTGCTAATGAGAAGCGTAATGTTTTTAGGTTTCTTATACATCAATGTACCCATAGTAACCCTGCATGGCGGCAGATCGAGCCATTGAACTGTTTCTTCGGACCGACAAATTCCTAAATCCACGTTTGAGACCACCCAAAAAATATTTGCTAGATGCGCCTCTGGTCGATTTTTTTATATGTCAAAAGGAGAAAAATGATTTTTCCGTTTTTAACACCAAAATACAAAATGTTTTGTTATAAAAATTTGGCTCCTTGGTTTCTTTCAAATTTTGACCAATTGGTCTGGAGAAAACGTAGAAACTGCCGTGTAGCAGGGTTATTAAGGGGGTATAAAAGACCCTAAACATATTAGCCTCCTCAGCAGTTCCAAAAATGCGGTCGATTTTCCAAACTTTTTACTTTTTTATAATTAACATTAAGGAAACAAAAAATCCTCAAAGATTGTAATCAAATCGTATAGAAGGATTATTCCAGTTTTCGGAAATATCCTTACATTCTCTCTGTGATCACTGGTTACCAATATATCAGAGGTCTATGACAAATGGATAATTTTTCAAGTCAGATATCTCCGCGCCAAGTGATCGTATGGTGATTTTAAAAACAGGACATTGAACCTGAACAAACGGGCTGATCCATAGTATGGCCTAACAGAAAAAAAATTCAAGCCCGTGGAGGGGAAAAGTTTAAAAAAAATTTTTCTTGCAGTTCAAAAATCGTATTAACAAAATTTCTTTGGGATCATCATAGCAGTCGCGGTGTTCCGACATTTAGGCTTCTGTCTGCGCGGTTGGTTCGACATAAAAAAAATCTGCTAGAATTGTATGTTGCTCCTAAAATTTTTTGGCTGAAATACTTGAAAACTAGAATGCTTTCAAAATGCTTTATTTAGAGTGTAGATACGACCTTTTTTTACCGAATTATAGCCTGTCAAAAATCACCGAAAAATTTTGATTTTTACTTGCTCCCTGAATTTTTTTGAATAGTGTATTATTTTTTGTATTAGCAACACTCCAGCCGACGTTCGATGCACAAAAAACAAATTCCAGTTAACAGTTGCTGAAGATACCAAAGCTTTAGAATATTCCTTACTTAAATGATTAGATTAAAGTCAAAAGTGATCCATTCAAACAAGTAATGTTTGCATGGAAAATAAAAAATGTAAAGCCATTGCAGTGGTGGGAACTCCTATTTTACAGTTGTTCACAGCTGTGGCTATCTGTGCATCAATAGAAAGGTTTTTTCTACAATGGAGAAGTTTCGTGATATTCAGACTCGCATAAGTAATGACATACCCGCAGAATATAGACTAGATAGATCAGCCAGAAAAATTATTGAAATCGTCCAATAAATGACAGAGAAATTGATACTTAAATTTGGCGCATTATAGCGCGAAATTATTGCTGCGGTTCGTTTGCGTCTGACGTCACACTTCTCTAGTGACCAGCGTCTCGTCGAGTAGGTGTTCGACAGCGTCTGTGCGTTTAGTCATTAGTCTATAGACAATTCATAAGATACACGGTCGAACAGTTGATAACTATTGAGTACTGCGTAAGCTCATACCATTATGGAAGCTGTGTAAAAGGGTTAAGGGACAATTTACCCAAAATTGACAATTATACCGTGTTGGAATTCATTTCTTCAAATCCATCATATACAAGCGAGGAAATAAAAGGTGTGAAACTTTGGAAGTAAGTATTTATGTCTGCTGCTACACTATCACAACTAGCGGCAAAATGTGCTATA